CAGGGACAGGCCATAGCTTTTATTCTTCTATGCTTTGCTGAAGGAATTGAGATATGATAGTGATAGATATAAACAGATTACTAAGAGTTATTCCTAATCACACAATAAAGAGCTCAAGCATTTTAAAGCTATAATACAATGCTGCAGCAGAACACTCTGCATTCTGGTTAACCACTTGGTTAAGCACATCTATAAGCTGGTGCTTGTGTTCCTCCTTTGATGTAGGGGCATTAGTAGTGTCATCTCTGGTGTCAAAATATAAACACACTCTCCTGTTGCCTTCTGCAAGACATTTTATTCTATATAAGTAATTTAGTATGTGCAGCTAAAAAGTAATGTTAGCTTAGCATAAACATACACAGGATCACTACAATGTCTCCATCATTCTCAATTTCAATCTTTTTCCTTATGCCCTATAAAAGAAGTATTTATGCTCAGAAATCAGTACCACAAGCAGGTTTACTTTAGTCCAGCTTAGTTTCCATTTAAAATAGTTTAGGTCAACATTTTATGCATAACCTAAATAAAATGAAAACTTCATTTATGTGTGTAAAACCAACTCGGGGACTAAGCCACAGCAACCAAATTCCTAAGCAATGGACTGTTCAGGCTACAAATTGCTCTCAAGGTCCTTTGTTTTGCAGCCAACCTCACATGACCTCAAATGATGTAGCTCAACATCTACAAACAACTCCTGTAGTGATTAACTTTTCAATAGATTCAAAAGTTAATCACTACAGTACTGTTTAATATGCTGTTTAATACAGTATATGAAGAACATAATAAAGATTAACTCCCATCACATTGTCTTCTCATTCCCTCACTTACGTATCATCTTTTATTGTCAAAGCAATTTTCAACTCCAAATCTTTCTCTTGCTCCAGTTCAGTGCACAGTTGCCTGTGCACAGCCCAAAGGTGGGACAAGGCTGCACTGTTAACATTAAAAAGAAACAATCAGCAAGAAACTGGAACTAATAAAGGTTAAAAATTAATACACCCCTCTCCCAAGATCAGCAACAATGGAAAATAGCTTTAAGGCTGAGATTTATGTATTAGAATTCCTCTAATTTATGCAGTCTTTTATTTTGCCTTCCAAGTATCTGTTCTTCATTCAAAAGTGAAGCTTTCTATAAACCATTACATGTTGGTTGAAATGTACAGAGGAGGATTGATTTCAAAAGCATGGACTGTAACTTAATGTGACTATTCATTTCTCACTAGTAAAAGTACTAATATTAATGAAAATAAGTTCAGGTGAACCTGGAGAACTTTGGCTGATTTTGCTTTTAAAAAGGTGTTACAATATCACACGCATTCCACTTACAATGGCAGCATTGTCACACAGCTGTTTATCATCCTTGGTGTTCTCTATCCAGGAAAACCAGTAGATAGTGTACTACATAATCAACAGTGAACTATGTTCAACATAAACTCCCTTCCTCTAAATTAACACTGAAAACTGATCTTCTACCTGAAGTTACTACTCGAACTTCAGAATTTTTGTACTGGGCATCAGTGATGCTAATGGTAGCTGGTATTTTCTTTATTGTTAAAACATGATGCCTTTGAGCTGCATAAGCTAGAAATGTATCAAGTCTTTTTACTCAACTATTCACTTGCTAAATGTAATAGATTGTGAGAACTGTTGTTTTTCTGCATGTCTAGACTTCACAATTTGACCCATCACAAGCATAAGAACTACAATGATTATCTGTCTTTGCTAGTAGTTGTTACTGTCTCTGAACAGGGAGTACCAGCACCCATCAAGAAGTTCATTAGCATTCAACTAATCATTTTTCTTTAAGCAGCTATTCCATTTTGGTAGCTAACCCACCTTTATAATTCTATCATTCACCAATAGACTAACTTGAAGATTAACACAGGTCATGAAATGCAGCTGCGAAGTTTTTTCACAATGCACTGGTGCCTGGTACACAAGCCACCCACTTCTTTCTATTTAAACCAAATGTGAAGAGCACAGTGAATTGCCTCCCACTTTACAGCACAAGTGTCTCAGCACAGCTCCTGTATGCAGAACTATTCCTGAGAGGCACCCATACATTTCAGAACATCAAACAAACATACAAACCAACCAAAGAAATAGCATATATATATATGAATCTTGATTGGAATAATTACGAGAAGCAAAACCATGACCACTGAAATTGCCATATCACATTGGTGTTGGTTCATCACATTGAACAGAAGTGATTGTGACCCTGATAAATGTTAATTGACAGGAGTGGGTAAATAACCTCTTGTTTTTATATTTTAAAATATATGCCTCTTTCCTATCCATTCTTATTTCTTTCTGCATTGATTTACCTGACAGAATATTACCTCTAGCCCAGAACGCTTAGAGATTAACAATCCCCAAGCCAATGCACCATTATTCATTAATTACATACAGATAAACCTAGTGAATGCCTGTAATCTTTGGTATCCAGAAATACGCTCTACCTACACGTTGCCAGCCTCCTCCTCTTTCTCAATTTCAGTGCCTACATAATCCAGACGCTTTGCTAGCATCTTGATCCGCAGTTGACAGGTACTCAGCTTGTCTCTGCAAGAAACAAATGGATTATTCATCTTTGTAAATTCTTTACTCTTCCTGATGAAACTCTTAATTTTGGAAGCAAGATTCAAACCTAGGATTCCTTCAAGTCCCCAACTCCCCACAATTTTTCTTTTATGATCTTACTCTGAGGTTCTTCAGAAGCCCTTGTTAACATCAAACATTTTCTCCAAAAATCCAGAAAAATGTAACAAGAGTTTTTTCTGACTTCATCCATAGTTCAGATATTACCAAAAAAGACAACAGCATAAACAGCATCTTCTTATATCAGCCTTCTTCAGGTATATTTGTTACTAAAGAACATCTTTGTGACCTTAACATAGAAAACCACTCATTTTTGAGTGCCTGAAGTATCTTCACTGATTCTAATGCAACATTTCCATCACAATAAAGAAAATGTTTGCAATTAATTTTCCACTTGATGTTTCCAGCTGACTGTTGAACCAGCACGATTGTGCGTGCATACATCTAATTCACATCAAATTCTCCCAGACCAAACACCTCCTCTTCAACATTCACTTCTGGATTTCATCTTTTCAAGTACATAATTAAATTTTATCCTTGATCCTTAATTCATTACAAGAGTTTGGGATATATTGAATATATTATATTAAACAAGTGTTTGAATCACATTACTGTCCCGAAACGAATCTATAAACTCTAATATTTTTAACAGATGCAGTATCCCAGTACTGGATGGTGATTTATGCTGATGGATTATGTTTGCTTAAACACTAACCTTTGTTTTTGGACCTCAAGTTCCTTTTTTCTGGCTATGTTATTGAGCTCTTTTAGGTTCCTCTGTAAGCGCAATAAGCAGATTCTATCTTTATGCTTCATGGCCTGAACATTATTAATGTCACCCAAATTTTGTTCCATGCTTTCCCTTTGAATTGAAGCACATGAAAACATAAGAAATGGAAAAGTCACATGAAGTTTGTACATCATCCACTTACACATTTGAGGGTTGTTTTCTGTTTTACTCTTGTGCTAGCAGAACAGTCACAAATATGACCAGTATAAATAAGAAAAAACAAACATAATCTGTACACCTAACCCTAACCCTGAGATTTTTAGACTTGGGTATCTAATGTTGGACATTTTAGACCCACATTTAATGTATTAATTATATGTCTTGGTTTTGACATATATGGCTCCTCTTGATTATACCTGGGGTTTACAGATTCTACTTTTCCTGAGCAATAGTTTAAAACTTTAGAGGGAACATTCTAAACTATTTTAAAACATTATATACAGCTGATGGTTTGTGGGGTGAGCTAATCTCTCTTACCATTTTGGTTTTCTTAAACTTATAGCAAGAAGAGGTCTGAAGGTTTGGGGAATTTTACATCATTTTGATGTATTTGAATTTCTCTGTTGATAATGGTAAAACCACCAACATTTACTGGCAGTAGGTATATCTCCTACACAACTTCCCACATACATATATTAATAACCATTAGTGGAGATTTTCATCATGCCAGGTCATTCAAGAGCAGCAATTAACAGTCTTGTCGAAGCAAGCCAAAACATGGACTCATATTTGTGAAGAGAGAAGCAACTACTTAAGGTCACGTTCAAACCACTAAATTCCTGTTCATTCACAACCTCTGTTAAATGTCAGTTTCTTACTTCAGGAATAAATCCACTGGATCACCTACTTATAAAAATCAGTGTAGTACTAATCTGTCATCGTACCAATTCTGTGCTAATTGACTTTACACAGTGGTACAAAACTCTTTGTACCACTGATAAAAATTAAGAAAAATGACAATCCAGAACTGGTATTCTTCAGCAGCCCAGCTTGTCTTCTTCCAGCAGCTCCTGATGTTCTACAAAAGCACAGAGGAATACCCACCAAACACTATGCATCACTGCGAAGAGCTGGATGGGTTTTAAAAGTGTAAATTGGTTAGCGTAACACTCCTTTGAGGAAAGCCAATTAGCTCACATTAACGTGGTGCAATCATTGTGTTCTATGTACATGCCTACAACAGCTTCAGATTATGAATGTCTTTATCTTACTCAGCTCATTAATAGCAGTAATCAACATTTTTTGTGGAGAGGTCTGTATAGCCTATGACTAATTTAACAACAGACGCACAGCTGAATTAACCAAACCTTCTCTTGAAAAGGTAAGTTAACACTTTAAAGGAAGTTCTGTTAGAAATGGTAACAAGTTATTTACATGCTAGAACCGGGTTTGTCTCCAACGTGTTCAGAGGTGTCCTTGTTTCCCATCTTGCCACCACCAGTCAACTCTTCTTCAACATTGGATTCTAATAGATATTAAAACAGGTACTTAAAATATTAAAATAATTTCTTTTGGTGAGCTTGCAAAATAATTCCTCATTTTCACCTTTCCACCATTCTTCCACATTAGAGAGCTGACCAGCTTTGTCTTCTTTTGCTTCCTCTTCCAGAAATGGTAGAGAAGATTTTTGCTCTTCTACCTCACTGTAACTGCTCTCATTATCTTCCATACTGGTAGTCCTTTCAAAGCAACCAGGCTGAGAAAGAAAAGAACTCATACTTTATAGATAATCTCTAGGAATTCACAATAGTGGTGACTATCTCTTGAGATGATTTAATAGCATTAATTAATGCATGTGAAAACTGGATACAATCACACACCTTTATACCAGTCCCACATTTTGAATATTCACTTTAATAAATCTCTTATAAAGAAGAAAGGATACTGCTGTTTTAGTTCTTAGATTTTATAATTATCAGTTCAATAACAAAACAAACCTGAATGTATTTTATCCATTTAGCAACCACTTTACTCAGAATGGTTAGGGAACAACTCCAACAAACACTGATTGCACTTATATCTTATGCAGCCATCTACTGTTAGGTAAACCATTCTCAAGTAGTGATAAAATTTATTAGAATTCAGCAAATTCTATATACCATCTGGAATGAGTTATTACCACATCACTGAGCATTTCATTAAGATCTTACTAATACAGAGACTTGTATATCTGATTGATTTTAATGAAGGTGGTGGCTCAGCTTTGAGTGCATTCCTGTGAATCCTTTTGCAGAATCCAAAACATGAACTAGAAGAGAGGATCTATTTTATCCTGTTTGGAACAGAGAAAATACTCCATGGACTCTGAAGTACAGGGTAGGCTAAATTGTAAGAACCACATTAAAGCCAAGACAGAATTCCTGCAACGGGCTACAGGTAAGGATGCCAGCAGTGCTAAAGAGTAACACAAACATAAAACAAGCTGCCAATGCGCCAGCGGCAGCCAGAATACTTTCTGCTGAACTGCACTGTCAGGTAGCACGAGTCTAACACCGACACAACAGAGTGTGGGTAAATGAAAAACTTACAGCATGGCGCGAGGCCCGAAGGCCTTCCGCAAGGAAACCCCTGGTCAGCGACAGATGCCAAGACATCATCCCGACACGGGATCCCCACTGTCACGCAGCGACACCCCGCACAAGGGACACAGCACACCTACTGTGGCAACCCTGGCCCTCACCTCAGAGCCTCAAATCTTGTCCCCACAGCCGCCCAGCTCCGCTGCCGCGCGCGACGACCGTTAGCGCCGCTGCCGCGGCAACAGAGCAAACCACCGCAGACCGTAGCAGGGGCGCCGGGGGAAGCGCGTTTCCTGCGGCCGCGGCGGGAGGGCGGAGCTGCTTGCCTTGAACCCCCTCGCCATGCGGGGTGGTGGTGCGCGCCGGGTGGGGCCTCCTGTCAGAGCGCGAGCCCAGCTCCCCAGAGCGAGTTCCCGCTTCTAACCTTGCAGTTCCTTAAACCCGCGGAACGCAGGGCGGTATGCACGGGTTTGAGCAAGCCAATGAATACAGAGATTTGAAACAGTTGGTCAGGGGTTTCTTGCTTGACGATGATTTTATTTTCAGTAGTGTAAGTTAAAATATGAGCCACTGCAACACATACCATCTTTCCCGTTTGGACTGGCAAGTGTTCTCATACATTTCTGTGAGCTTTGACACGTGCTCCCAAAGGACGACTGCACTTGAGAGATCCGAGGGCATTAACGCTTCTGTTGGCATTAATGTGTTACCACACGGGTGAGCAACTGTGCCAGGGACACTGCCCAGTCCGTCTTGAGCACCAGTTCAGGTGATTTCAGGTAAATTTAATGAGTTTTTTTCAGCTTAGTGCTCATTCTACATGCATTTATAAATTTTAAGCAAGTTGGTGGCGTTATAATTAGAAATAATCTTTTTAATGAATTGGCCTGACTTTCTGCAATGCCAAAGTCATAAAGATTTGAGGTTGGACTGCACACACTTTAGAATACTGAAAAGTTCCAAGTTTCAATCCAGAATGAAGCTGTCTCAAATGTCTTCTCTGAAGTAAGCCTGGACTATTCTGACAATAGTATGTCAGCATTAGTTACTAATTAAAGGCTATAGCAAAATGCCTGTGTACTGATCATGGTGCCCACTTGTAATGTCACATTCCGAATGCTTCCTTTAGCTTCAGCAGAAACTGCTGGGTCTGAGATTCCTTGTAACACCTTAATACACTGTAAGTATACATAAAATCACTAAATTTAAAATTATTTAGATGATGTTTTGGTATTTTTCACAACAAAGCCAAATATCTATATTTAACATGTCTCTGTTGGAATACTTTGTTCCTCAGAAGAATCTTCTGTTCACTGCTGTGTGTTTGGTTACCAGGTTTTAGCTCTTCATTGGTAATAACTAGGTTCCTTTTCTATTTCTTGTATTACCTTGACACAGTTAAGGGACAGTGCAGTTCAATTCAGAGCAAAGATTCTTGTCCCCTTACTGCTGGCACTAGGCCTAAACAGCATTCTAGAAAAATTCAGGTGTTCAAAGATTCAAAGTAATTCGGTCATTAAACCAATGGGACATCATTCTTTAAGCAAAGCTCTGTACCTAAATTGCACACTGGTCTGTACACAGAGACAGAAGGCATCCTCAGATGTATTTAACTGAAAATGCTCCTCATGTTTCTGTAGTTTTTTATAGTTGCTCGGAGAAGTAAAGTCTGGTTTTTCAGTACCATGCACATGCTGCTAATCTAAGTATTTATTTCCACTGGCACATATGGAGCATATATTACTCACAGTGACCAATTCATTGTCCCACACTTATACTATAGGTCCTAATTCTTTAGAAATACTTAGACATTCTTACCTCTATGGATGGTGGAATCTTGATTTTATGGCATCTATTCATATTACATAAAACAAATTACATACATTTGCAGGATTAAAGCTACAAGATGTAGGCTAAAAATATGCAGTGATTAGCTGTATAGCTCTCTCTGCTGATCTAGAATAGATATAATGGTAGTTAACTCTGAACCTCCCAGTTCTCACACTCCAGTAGTCAGAACGTAAAAGATCCAAACATGTCTTTTTTCCCCCCAAGAAAACACTTGTAAGAACACCTGGTAATATCACTGATGTTCAGTTTCTTGGGATATTTTTATTCAGGGTATTTATTCAATCCCAGTTTACAATTGTTTGGATGATTTTCATAACAACAAAAAATGATAACTAGTTTTAGCAATAAATAAATGAGTTTAACCTCTAAAGTTTCTAAAACACTAACCAGTGCTTAAGTCAGAATAGCTGATTTGCACCTTTGCTGTAAACCACAATGGATTATGGGCACTGCCAGAGACAGCTTTGGGAGATGATTGGAAATGGAGTTGCTATTCTTTAGGCAGTATAGGTGTAACAGTCACTCTGAAGAGGAACAAAGTTCAAATTGTTAGTCCAACTGAATCCAGATATACCAGATGTTTTGTTACTGTAATTTTACAACAGTCCCAATCAGTAGCAGTCATTTCAGAGTGCACACTACCAGATACCTCTGACTACATGATCTCCTGGCCACTGGGAGTGAATAATTTGTCACTAGAGAAAGGCAATCTAGATTTTTATTTCCCATATAGATGTAAGAAGAGAGAAAGCATCTGCAGTTCTTCTGAATATGCTAAATTAGTTCTTATCTCCCAATCCACAACTTACAGCTGTCAACTGAAGTCAGTGACTCTACTCCAGCTCCAGATGTACAAAAACACTTTGGCTGCTCTTACGGATTTTGTAGACACTGACCACCAGTGATACATCTTTGAGACACTAGGTAACAGAGCAAGCAGATATAAATCAAAATCCTGCTCTTTTCTTACTGTGAATTAAATTCAGAGGCATTTCAGTGCCATTCCTTTAGTACCACTTCATGATCAGTTTGAAACTGAGTAGAACTGGACAGTTCAGTTTGCTCTGTGTCTGTGCACTGTGCTTCTGCAGGCAGTTGGTATTTCTTTTCTGACCGTTTCCAAGGTGATAGTAGCTCATATATGGAGCTTTCCAGCTTTTAGGCAGGAAGGCATGCCAATAATGGAATCTTAACTTCTGCAGTGTGGTTCATATTGAATTACATAAACCAATTTTTCTGGCCCTGTTCTATGATATAAATCAACACCAGCCTGTAAACAACGGCAAAAACATGGGCAAGCATTTTACCAACAGGTCATCCTTACAGATGCAGTGAGAAAAAACAAGAGGGGCACTTGCTATCAGAGGACTCCACTGAGGAGTGACCTGCAATAGCATCTGCTGGGAGCACACCTCTGAGAGCAACACCACTGGAGTAAAACAGTCACCTCCAGTCCTGGAATGAGGCCTGGCACAGGGGCAAACTGCAGAATTTCATCCCAAATATGTTGCACAAAGAAAAAGAAGGCAAAGCGTCTGGTTGCATTGCACTCCATAATTGTCAAATAAATGTGTGTGGACTGAGGGAGGAACTGGGTGTTCTACAGAACATTTGGAAGCATGAAAACTACATTTCTCAGCCAGCACTTCAAGTAAAAAGAGAATTAATGTTGTGATTATACTGATATTTATTAAATACAGACACACACGTGCTGGGACCACGGGACATTCATACAGTGCCAGTAAAGTACAGCCTCTGAAGTGAGCTAAGTATTCCCAACATGTGATTGCTACTGGTATTTCCAAATCCATTTATAAAAATAGGGGTACATGTGACATTGCCACAACAGTCTTTCATGAGCTATTTAGGTGGAATCATGAGTGAAAATAATTAGACGTGTGGTATATCTTTTGCCTCTAAAATTTGTACGTGACAATATGACATCTTTCCCTTCTGTCAGTAAAACCACTTGTCCTGTTTAGGAAACGATCTATTAAATGTATCAGGTAGTGCAGTGCAACTGTAAATTAAATAATGTCCTTTTGATATGCTCTCAAAATCCTGAGGTAATAAAGGAGTATGTAAATTTGTTATCTGGCTCAAATTAAGAAGTCTATTTCTCCTCAGTGTCATCAAATTGTGCCCTCCAATACATTGTTTTATGATAGCAGTTATAAAAATAGGGATGACTGTGATCAGGAAACTCCCATCTGTTAAGTGCTCCAGAAGACAAATACTTTACATGTTTTGAAATGTGGGTTTCTGGTCTCAATTACAGTAAAACATTACTTCAAAGCTGTGACTTTTGCTTACTACTGTAATGAGTAAATACTCTAGCAATTAGGAATTGTTAATACAGTACTGATTCAGAGAATCATTATTATAATTATTATACTTATGTATTTATTAACTATATAATTATTATAATTGCAACTAATTATTTAATAATGTTTAAATGATACTTACCTGTAAAAATGTGCAGATGTGTGAGGAGCCCATCAACTTCTGATAGACTGGCATGGCCAAAACATCCAGAAATACTGACCTAGGTATCATTAGTCATTATTACATTGCTGTGCCAACTCTACTACAGGTTTATATGTACAACAGCAAAGAGGAAGGTTTGTTCCAAACTGTGTAACCCTGACCTGACAGCCTGGTCATGCTGAAGCATGGCTTCATCCCATGCTGATGATCCATTGGAGCTCCATGTACGAGGGCCGATTGTAGGATGGATATTTTCACAAACACCAGTGACTGCAGCCACACAGATGAGCAGAAGCACTTAGCAGAGTAGCAAACAGGCTTAAGAAACATTTAGTACCACAGCCCATCTTTTTAGGAATATTTGACAGTTCCAAGGCAGTAGCTAAAGGAAAGCTTTAATTATCTTCAAGAGGATTAGATGAGAAAGGTTTATGGAGCTTCTTTGTTTTGTTTTGATATTTTAGTAGCCATTTTAAATGTTTAGGTTTTTTTAATCTATCTCTTGAGAAAATTTAATCTGTCATTAACTGTAAAGAGTTTGGGATATCCTGCTAGAATTGTAGGAAATTAAACATTACTGATTATTATTATTTTGTCCCCTCTCTTCCCTTTGGCTAATAGGAA